GATAAAAAATTAACTATCACAATAATAATACATTAGTAAATATAATAAAATTTATTAATTATTACAATAACTTTTACATATAAAAAATTACTAATTATCATAATTAACTTAAAAAATTTAATTAAAACATATATTACAAGATATAAATATATATACCTGCCGCACATGAACGTTGTCTCCCGGATTCTTTTCCTTCAGCACGGCCATAATTTTTTTCGGGGCCACCTGAGCGTCCATCATGTCACGAACAATTCTCTTAGATGAAGCGCTGAGACCGCTCAACTGGCTATGACCCTCAGGATACACAACAAATGCATGGTTATGGTAGCCTTTCTCTTCATTGCTACATCTACAGATCCTCCAGTATGGAACGCCGGACACCTTTTTTACTTTGATCTCAAAATTGCAGCCGCACTTATTCGTTTTTGTCCTTCTAGAATTTCCGCCTGTGCCTCTGTACCGTTCGCCTCTATGGCACTTCAAAAGTCTGACCGTTTTCTTTTTGTGGCTCGAAATAATTAATAGGAAACCATTCAGCATTGCCTGGTGTTTTGCAGCTTCAATAGCCTCCTGAGCACTATTATAGAATGAACATGAATAGAAACGCAGACTGTAATCAACACCATCTCCTCCAAAATCTTCCCATGACTCCTGCTATATAGTACAATATTTTTATTTTTAGAACATGTTAAATTAAGATAATTAATTCTACGATGTAACATAATAATTTGTAACTCGTAACATGATATTATCTAACGTTCAATTAATATAATTTGTAACTCCTAACACGGTCACGGTAATATCTAACGTCCAATTTATATTATAATAAACATTTAACACAATAACTTGTAACTCTTAACACGATACTATCTAACGTCAATTTATAACATAACTAAAACTAATATATAATGTAATAATTTCTAACTCGTACACGATAATATCTAAACTTCCAATTTATATTATAATCAACATGTAACATAATAATTTGTAACTCCTAACACGATAAACGTCCAATTTATAGCATAATCAAGTCTAAAATGTAACATAATAATTTATAACATAATAATATAGTCCAATTTATAACATAACTATTTCGAATAAATAACATAATAATTTTTTTTTTAAAAAAAAAATACGTACGGCCGGCCGAACCGGACGGGCCGTCCGGAACCGGCGACCGTACACGTATTTTTTCGTACCTCCGAATTTGACGACATTTCACCGTACACTTTCCTCTGAGATGTTTAGAAAAAATGAGAAGGGCAAAATTGTCCAAGGGGGGCGGTGACTAGTAAAATGGGGGGCGGTGAATAGAAAGGATACAATCAAGTATTTACTCACTTAAGCCCAAAGATGATTATATCCGGTCCAATACCAATTTTCAACCAAACCCATCCTATATATATATATATAGAAGAGATCATATGAGAATGGTAGATAGTGAAAGAAATAAGAATAAATATATATATATATGTATATATATAGAGAGAGAGAGAGCTGGGATCATATGAGAATGGTAAATAATGAAAGAAATAAGAATGAATCTGGACCATAGGATCAATCATATTAATGGGTATGATGAAGTCAAATTATGGTCAATCATTAATGGCATTTTGGTAATTAATTGGTTATAGTGTGGTCAAATATGTGCATTTGACCAATAATTAGGAGTAAGTTAGTCAATACACATACATACATTTATGTGGGACCCACTCACCAATTAAATAACTACTTTCTCTCTCATCCCATCACTCCTTCTTCCCGATTTGAGATCTGCAATTTCACACGCACCAAACTCACACACACACACCCCACTCCAACCACACACGGCGGCGCCACCAAAAGATCAGCCGGAGCCAAACCTCACAGGTGGCTTCGCACAGCAATCCGCCGCCGAACACCCGTCTCCGACGCCGCCTCCCGGCGCGGCCACCATGCCGTCGAGCACCACGTCGGCGATGTCCACCGGCGACACCTTCATTTGCAGACAACCAACCGTCGCCTGATGTCGAGTGCCGCCACCAGCTACAGCCCGTCGCCACCTGCCGTCGAACGATGCCGCTCGCCGCCCCTTGCACCATCTCGCTCCCTTTCTCGCACGACGGCCATCTCGCCGGCAAACAGATCGGTTTCCCTCCGACGTCGTCGTCGAAAGCGTCTCCTCCGCCTGCAAGCTTCGACGACCTCCCGGCGGGCGTCAAAGCTGATAACCGCCGCCACGTAAAAACTGGTCGACGGACGGCGAAGATTCAGGTGGCGCTCGACGGCTGAAAAAAAAAAACAGCTCGATGCTGTTGCTCGAAGGTTCCGACGTTCTTCCATATTCAGCCACAAAAGATTGATGAAATGGCTTGGTGTCGTGTTATGATTGACGGGAGATGGATTATAGTCTAGAGAGATTTGAATTTTGGGGACTTGCTTTTGAAAATTGGATAAGTCCCAAGGACTTTTCTGCAATTAAGAAAAATTCAATATATTACAATTCAGTCCAAGTGTCCAATTTGTAGTTTATTAAAAATATAAAAAATTATAATATATATATTAAATGCACAATAATGATAGAAAAAGTGCACAATATTGTATGAGAAATGCATATTAAAAAATTCGTTTGATTTTTTACGAACTTTTGTCCCAAATCAAATTAAAACTGAACATAATTAATTGGTTTAGTCAGTTCGGTTAACCGAATTATCCCAAATAATCGAAATATTTTATTATTTATATTAAAATTATATTTAATTTATTAATAATATTATTTATTATTTTTATATTAGCTTTGGTTGAAACAAGTTCAGTTTGGTCGGTTTCGATATCTAATGTGCAATCGGACAACCGTGATAAAGTGCAACATGTTGTTTTGTAAACTGCAACACGTTGTTTTATAAAGTGCAACGGGTTGATGTATAAAGTGAACTATTGTAATTTTTGTATGTTAGCATGCTTGTATTTTGTGTAGATAAATAATGTGATTAATGTCAAAATATTATTTATATTCGTTGTTTAGATTTATGTCGTGTGGTATTTGTGGGGGTGCAGAGAACATTAGTTGTTGTGTGCGGTGATAAAGTACAATGTGTTGTTTTATAAAGTGCAACATGTTATGTTATAAAGTGCATCGTGTTGATATATAAAATGCACTACTTTATATGATCACATATAAATTATGTACTTTTGAAAATTAAAATTAGTAGATATAATTGTATATCGAATTAACCTAAATAATTGATTATTTATTATGAAAAAAATATATGTATTATTTTAATAACTTTTATATTATAAAAAATAATTTGTTATTTATTATTATAAAAAAGTATAATTTATATATACATAACAAAATAAATAAGTTATTTTTAGTTATTTATATAAATAAAAAAGAAACTAGAATTTTAAAAGTAAAAATAAATAATCGACCGAAAATATAAAGTTCGATCCCAAGATTGTGTATGACTGTTTCGGCCATTATAGTGCAATGTGATAGTTGCTAATGTGCAATACTTCCAACATTAATGTGCACTTGAAGTGCAACTATTTTTTATAAAAAGTATACTTATTATTTTAATATTTTTATTATTTTTAGTTGAAAATATAATATATTTGTTATATATTATAATGTGTAATTTAAATTATCAAATAATTTATTATTTATATTATAAAATTGTATTCAATTTTTTAATATGTTAATTTAATATTTTATAGTATTCTTTTTTATTTATAAAACATAATATATGTGTATAAAAAATATATATAAATAATATTTTTAAATATTTTTATAAATTACATAAACCAACACAGTAACACCATCATCATTGTGATAACTTTAAGAAAAGAACCCAAGTAATTTAAAACGCCATGCTCAAAACAGAGCCAAGTAAAACTGCATCCCCAACCCTTCAACTTCAAATTTCTCACAAACGTTCAACCCCAAAATTGAACCGCCGGCAACTTTTCAGAACTCAATCACCGACCACCATACACTACAGCATTCGCCGGATGTTGGCGCAGGTCCAGCCGTATGGATGCGAGAAGAAGCAATCAGATAGGACGATTTTGCTTTCAATTTTGACGGGGAGGAGATTCCGCCGGCGGCCGATCTATTGTTCCGAGGCGACGCCGATGAAGACGATGAAGGTCAATTTCGAGGCCGTCGGAGGACGGTGAACTCGGTGAGCGGCGCCACAGGCCTCCTCTGAACAGTAACTCCGGCGACTGATTGGTTGGAGAAGGGTCGGCAACCCCCATAGCTTTCTGCGCCCCAACGGCGCCTTTCCTTTACCCAAAATGCACTTTCGATCATTCCATTTTGACTCGGGAATTTCAGGCGTCGAAGTCTGCTCCCAGCGGTTGCGGAGGCACGACATTCCGTTAGATTGCGGCAGTGAAGGCGGAACTTGCAGGTGGCAGGGCGGTGTGACAGCGGGCGGTGACCGGTAGGAGGAGTTGTGAACTGATGGGAAGGCATATGTGTGTTTTTGTGTGTGTGTGTGAGAGAGAGAGAGAGAGAAGCATGTGGGGTAGGGGTCTGGTGGGGGAGGTGTGCCGTGTGGGATCTGATGAGGTGGGACTTATTGTTAGATGTAATTTAAAATGTCTAATGTGCCCTCAATAAGTATAAGTGTTTATCTGTTTTTAATCCTTTAGATTATTTGATCGGACGACTGTGATGCATTCTTATTTCTTTCATTAGGAACCATTCTCACCGGAGTGCGACCCTATTTTATATATATATATATATATAGAGGACGGATCCAATGTGGCTACTCCTTAAAATGAATACGTGAGACTCAAACTTAGCCACTCATTTTGTCTAGATCAAAATCAATTAAAAATAAACATTAATTAAATAATAAAATAATTGTTAGTTGACTCCGGCGTTGACCGTTGACTTCCGGTGTTGACTCCGGTGTTGGCTCCGGCGTTGACCCGTTGACCCGTTGACTCTGGTGTTGACCCGTTGAATCCAAGGCTTGTTTGGATTCAAAATAGACTGGAGCAAACGAACGATGGCGTTTTGGTGGCCTCTGGTTGTTATCGCTTTCGCTTTCGCGATCTGCAAATTACTCCTCATGCTCATTCCTTCCAATGTACCTTCGATTGACGTTGACATCTCTGATGTCGTGGATGATGGGAATCAAACGAAGGAAAACAACTTCATCTATATACCTTCGCGAAGACAGACAGATAAAGTCCAATGCTATGAACCTGCAACAATGAAATACTTGGGCTTTTTTCCTGCATTGAAACCAGATGAGGTTAAGGAGCGTGTTTCACTGGCTAGGAAGGCTCAAAAGGTGTGGGCAAAAAGTAGCTTCAAACAAAGGCGCCAGTTCCTGAGGATACTTCTAAAGTACATTTACATGCGAGGTTTCATCGCGTGACACTGGAAAGACCATGGTTGATGCGTCTTTGGGAGAAATTATGACAACCTGTGAGAAAATCACCTGGCTTCTTTCTGAGGGTGAAAAGTGGCTGAAACCCGAATACAGATCATGTGGAAGATCAATGCTTCACAAGACAGCCAGAGTGGAATTTCATCCGCTTGGTGTAATTGGAGCCATTGTTTCGTGGAACTATCCATTTCAACACATATTTAACCCAATGTTGGTTGCAGTATTCTCAGGGAACAGTATTGTGATTAAGGTTTCAGAACATGCGAGTTGGTCAGGATGTTTCTATTTACGTATAATACAAGCCGCCCTTGCTGCTGTTGAGCACCAGAAAATCTGGCTGAGGTCATAACAGGGTTTGCTGAGACAGGAGAAGCCTTGGTGTCTTCAGTTGACAAGATGATTTTTGTTGGGTCACCTGGTGTCGGGAAAATGATAATGAGGAAAGCTGCGGATACATTGATATCGGTTACTTTTAAGCTCGGTGGGAAAGATGCCTTTATTGTCTGTGAAGATGTTGATGTGCAGCATGTTGCACAAATTGCTGTAAGGGGTGCTCTGCAATCAAGTGGGCAAAATTGTGCTGGTGCTGAGAGGTTCTATGTTCACAAGGACATCTATACCTCGTTTACTGTTGAAGTTGTCAGAATTGTAAAATCTGTTACTGTTGGTCCTCCACTAATTGGGAAATACGACATGGGAGCAGTATGCATGCAAGAGCATTCTGAGAAGCTCCAGAGTCTGGTAAACGATGCACTCAACAAAGGAGCGGAAATTGTTGGCCGAGGAAGTGTTGGGAATATTGGTGAAGGAGCAGTCGATCAGTACTTCCCTCCCACTGTAATTGTAAATGTCAACCACAACATGAAATTGATGCAAGACGAGGGTTTTGGACCAATTATGCGATCATGAAATTCAGTACTGATGAAGAGGTCGTCAAACTGGCAAACGACTCGAAGTATAGGCTTGGGTGTGCTGTGTTTTCAGGCAGCCAGAAGCGGGCCAGAGAAATAGCTTCTCAGTTACACTGTGGCATTCCTGTTGATTTTGCAGCAAGCTACATGTGTCAGTCTCTTCCCTTTGGTGGTGTAAAAGACAGTGGATTTGGAAGGTTTGCTGGCATTGAGGGTTTGCGAGCTTGCTGTCTTGTAAAATCCGTGGTTGAGGACCGTTGGTGGCCACTTGTTAAGACTAAGATCTCTAAGCCTATTCAGTACCCCATCTCGGAAAACGGTTTTGAATTCCAAAAATCACTTGTGGAAGCATTGTACGGGCTAAACGTGGGGGACCGTGTGCGGGCATTAGTGGATGTTTTGAAGATGCTTTCCGAACCAAATGCTTCCAAGTCCAGTAAGCGAAAGGACTAAAACAACTGCCACTCGGCTGCACATAATCTGTAGATCTCTAAGGTAAGCTTAGTCTTTTGGTATGACATATTGGACTTTTGGGTCCTGAATGAATATATTCTGGCTAATGTGGAACTGTAATGAATTGGAACGACCACTCCTCTATGTACGAGGAATTGATTCTTAATCTAACAATTACTTGGGTAGAAAATGTCTGTTGGTTACTATGGGGTATCAGGAAATGAAAAACTTTACTTTCGAGAATCTGATTCGTAATTTAGTTCCTACTCGGATAATGAATGCATTAAATCTTCTACTGGTTCACTTCCATTTTTGCACGTGAAAAAAAAAAATCTAGCAGCAAGAAAGAAATATCCTAACAATAAAATACAACTAACCTAGCAGCATCAGACAACTAACCTAGCAGCAAGAAAGAAATAACCTAGCAACAAAATACAACTAACCTAGCAAGAAAGAAATAACCTAGCAACAAAATACAACTAACCTAGCAGTATCAGACAACTAACCTAGCAACAAAACACAACTAACCTAGCAGCTACAGATAACTAACCTAGCAACAAAATACAACTAATCTAGCAGCAAGAAAGAAATAACCTAGCAACTTAAGACAACTAACAGAGCAACAAAACTCAACTAACCTAGCAGCAAGAAATAAATAAACTAGCAACAACAGACAACTAACCTAGCAACAAAACACAACTAACCTAACAACAACAGACAACTAACCTAGCAACAAAAGACAACTAACCTAGCAACAAGAAAGAAATAACCTAGCAACAAAAGACAACTAACCTAGCAGCATCAGACAACTAACCTAGCAACAAAAGACAACTAACCTAGCAATAAAACATAACTAACCTAGCAGCTACAGATAACTAACATGCTCATTTCGAAGATTCTTAACAGCCGCCTTTCACCCCTTCTCCCCTCCCTCATCTCTCCGAACCAGAGTGGCTTCGTCAAGGATCGAGTCATTAGTGATAACATCCTTCTGGCCCAGGAGATGATCCACGACATCTCCCGAGTGGACTGAAAGCGGGCTCCGAATATCGCGCTGAAGCTAGACATGGCCAAGGCGTATGATAGGGTTGAGTGGCCGTTTCTTAGGGAGGCTCTGGCTAGGATGGGATTTCCTGAGCGTTGGATCAGCTTTGTGGAGGCGTGTGTGGAGCACTGCACGTTCTCGGTCCTAGTTAATGGCAACCCCACTGATTTTTTTCCCTCCTCTAGAGGCCTTAGACATGGCGACCCCCTTTCCCCTTCCCTCTTCGTTCTTGCGGCGGACTACCTCTCTCGCTGCCTTGACGGCTTCATCTGCGACTCTCCTCATATGACTTATAGCACCCGTGGCTATGGTCCTCCCATCTCTCACCTCTCTTATGCGGATGACATCATCATCTTCACCTGGGCAGATGATGATGGACTGGTCGAGCTTATGCGCCTTTTGGAGCACTATGGCTCGGTTACCGGTCAGCTGGTCAGTGTGCAGAAGAGCACCTTCATCCTCTCATCTTCCACCGTGGACAGGTGGGCTCAGCGGGTCCACGACATTACTGGCTTTGCGCGTGGCGACCTTCCCATTACCTACCTTGGGGTCTCTTTATATAAGGGCAACCTCACGAGAGCGCTCTTTGCGGGCGTCAGGCAGAGGATGATCGACAGGATATCTGGTTGGTCGCATAGACATCTTTCTTTCGGTGGTCGGCTTGCGCTGATCAAGAGCACTCTTAGCTCTCTTCCGATTCATTTGCTTATGGTCCTCGACCCCCCTAGGTCTACTCTTGGCGAGATTGACCAGATTATGGCTCATTATTTCTGGGGTTATGAGGACGGTTCTGGGAGGGGGAGACGTACCCACTGGGTGAGTTGGGACTCTATCTGCCGCCCCTTTCCTGAGGGTGGCCTTGCCATCCGCCGCCTCAGGGACATTGTTACAGCTTTCTCCTACAAGCTGTGGTGGCGCTTCAGGGAGGGAAAGTCGCTTTGGGCTCAGTACCTTCGCGGCAAGTACTGCCCTAGACGTGCCAACCACCCTTGTTAGGTCACGGCTATTGATCATGATAGTAGACAGTGGCGGCGCCTCACTAGGGTCGGTAGGCGGGCCCAGGATCACATCTTCTGAGTTTTGGGCGAGGGCGGGGTCAGTTTCTGGGATGAGTGGTGGGTTGGTGATAGGTCGTTGTCTAAGGATAGGCAGGTGTCGCATTCCCCCTACCAGCTTGTGAGCGACATTTGGACGGACGGGTCGTGGGACAGGGGGAAGCTAGATAGGGAGTTGGGCTCTGGGGAGGGCTTTAGCGAGCATTTATTAGATCAGATCCAGCCGATCCCTATCTCGGGGGACGGTTCGGATGGCATGAGGTGGAGACTTACATCATCGGGTGCGTTTTCTACTACCTCGGCTTGGGAGCAGATCAGGCTGAGAGATCGGCCTAATCTTCTTTTCGGGGCCATCTGGAGCGACCTTTTCACCCCTACCATTTCGGTGTTCCTTTGGCGCCTCCTCTTGCACCGGATACCCGTGGATACTGTGTTACACGCGAGGGGGATCTCCTTCCCCTCTCGGTGTGTGTGTTGTTCTGAGACTGGACGCCATGAGATCGAGACCTTTACCCACCTTTTTCTAGAGAGTGAGATTGTGAGGAGAGTGTGGGAGCATTTTGCCACTTGGACACATATATCCCTACCCACCACAGACGGTTTCTTCGAGCTCCTGAGTTTTTTTCTCATAGAGCACACACTTTTGACACGTGGGCTTTCTCATTCCTTGTCTGATCCTTTGGTTCACCTGGACAGAGAAGAATAGTGCGAAGCATAGGGATATTACTTTTTTTTCCTTCTCACATTGTTTTGCAGGTAGAGAGACACATCTCACTCCTCATAGCATTGGGCAGGCTCACGGCCCGAGACTGGACAGGTTGCACGCCGCCACACCGTTACATGGTGGCTCCCCCACTGCCTGTTCGGCCTCCTCGGGCTAGAGCTGTTGTTTGGCTTCGACCTGACTCTCCGTGGGTCAAACTGAACACTGATGGCTCCTTTGATCGTCACACCAGAGTTGCCGGAGGAGGAGGCTTGATACGGGACCACAGCGGCGCCCTCATTACCGCCTTCCACGCGCCCCTTCAGGCCTCCTTGAGCTACGATGCAGAGATTCAGGCATTACAGATCGGCCTTCAGATTGCTGTTCACCTCTCTAGCCACATTTGGATCGAGCTAGACGCTGTCGCCGCCTTGTTGACCTCGGGCCACCAGGGCTCGTGACAGATTCAGCACCCGCTTATGGGTATTAGAGCTCTACTCCGGTCTGTCCACCACAGGATCATGCACATTTTCCGTGAGGGGAACAGACCTGCAGACTACCTTGCCAGCCTTGGCGCCACCACACCTGACTCCCATGCGTTTCATACCGACACTGCTCCACTCCGACTTTGCACGCTCGTACGGATGGACCAGCTTGGATATCCATCTTTCCGCTTTCAGTAGATTAGGCTTATTGCTTTATTTAGATTAGACCTTTGCTTCCGGGCACCTGTTAGTCCGAGGACAGACTTTGTATTATTCTTTCCTTTTTTGGTTTTCTTTTGTTGTTTTTGTTTTGTTTTGCTTCAGAGACTTTAAACATTGTAGTTTGTTGACACTTTGGGCCCCAGTTTTCAGATCTTGATCTATGTACAGGTTGGGGATCCAGCCCAATCCCTCGCCCTTCCGGGGCGTTGTTTGTTTTTTTTTTAAAAAAAAAAAACCTAGCAACAAAAGACAATTAACCTAGCAGCAAGAAAAAAATAACCTACCAATTTAAGACAACTAACCTAGCAACAAAACTCAACTAACTTAGCAGCTACAAATAACTAACCTAGCAACAACAGACAACTAACCTAGCAACAAAACATAACTAACCTAGCAGCTAAAGATAACTAACTTAACAACAAAAGACAACTAACTTAGCAGCAAGAATGAAATAACCTAGCAACAAAAGACAACTAACCTAGTAACTACAGACAACTAACCTAGCAACATCAGAAAAATAACCTAGCAACTACATAGAACTAACCTAGCAACTACTAACCTAACAACTACAGAGAACTAACCTAGCAACTACAGAGAACTAACCTAGCAACTACAGAGAACTAATCTAGCAACTAGAGAGAACTAACCTAGCAACTACAGAGAACTAACCTAGCAACTACAGAGAACTAACCTTCAGATTGCTATCCACCTCTCTAGCCACATTTGGATCGAGCTAGACGCTGCGGCTGTAGTCACCCTTTTGACCTCGGGCCACCAGGGCTCGTGACAGATTCAGCACCTGCTTATGCGTATTAGAGCTCTACTCCAGTCTGTCCATCACAGAATCACGCACATTTTCCGTGAGGGGAACAGACCTGCCGACTATCTGGCCAGCCTTGGCGCCACCATACCAGACACACATACATTTCAGACCGACACTGCTCCACTCCGCCTTCGCACTCTTGTACGGATGGACCAGCTAGGATATCCAGCGTTCCGCTTTCAGTAGTTTAGGATTTTTGCTTTCATTAGTCTAAACATTTACTTCGGGCATCTGTTAGCCCGAAGATCGACTTTGTATTGTAGTTTCTGTTTCTTTTTCGTTCTTCGGTTTCTCTTTTTGTTTCTTGTTTTTGATTTTGGTTAGTGAGACTCTGTAGACTATTGTATCTTTCTCGTTGATATTTTGGGCCCCCGATTTTGGGGCCCTGATCTATGCAAAGGTTGGGGATCCAGCCCAATCCCCCGCCCTTCCGGGGCGTTGTTTTTTTNTCAATGCCAGAAGTCAACGAATTTCGCCGGAAATCAACGGTCAACGTCGTTGTCAACGAGTCAAAATAATATTTAAATAATTAAAATAATAAAAAGAAAAGAGTAAATCTTGGCCACACATGATATGTAGCAAATCTTGTGGCTAAAAATAAGTCTTACGTTCTCACTTTAAATAAGTTGATGCATTGGAACCATTCTCTATATATATATATATATATATATATATATATATATATATATATATATAAGGGATCATATGAGAATGGTAGATAGTGAAAGAAATAAGAATAAATCTTTTCCATTGGATCGAACATATCAATGGTCATGATCAAGTCAATTTTAATATTTAACACTCAAATATCTAATGGCAATCTCGTAATTAATTCAACATATCATGGTGAAATAAATCCAATCGACCACTAACTAGGGGCAAATTAGACATTGCATATTTATTATGAGCCCACCACCAACCCCACTATCTCTCTCACAATTACACCTACTCATCCACACTCTCTCACTTCGTACACCTCAAAACACACACACAAATGCACCGCAAGACACCACCATCCCACCCGCCGACGCCGCCTGCTGTCCGCCGCCCGCCGCCCGCCAGTCTCGCCACCGCCTTGCTCCGCCAGTCACACGCAACACGCACACACAAGCTACCAGCCCGCCGTCGTGATCCCGCCTTCCGCCACATCTCTAGTCGGCGCATCTGCTGGAGAATCCCTGACGGTTCCGCCATCCGTGCAAGGACGTTGAGTCATCAAGACGGCCGTCGTCAGTCTCCGCCGAAGCTGCGCGCCGGTCAGTCGAGCTTTCTGTTTGACGAACGCTGACATGCTTTCGGCCCATTGCCGTCAGTCCCCAGCTCCTGCCGCCGCTGGCAACGTCTCCGCCGTCGACCTCTCGAGAGTGATACTCTCAGCCATTTTTAGATAGATCGCCGGCGAACATAGGCGCCGAACGTCGAAGGCCCGTCGGCGGCGACCATCACCGTGATTTTGGCGGATAGGTTGCAGGTAGAGGGATAGAGCTGGGGGCATGTTTTGGAGAATTTGACATGACACAAGGATTTGTTTGCAATTTTATAAGTTTTGTTATAGTACAATTTAATTCATGGGTCAAATTTATAACTAATCAAAATATGATTTGTATTAAAATATATTACTTAATTTTTTCGTTCCTGCTATTGCCAGTCCTTCAAACAAGTCACAGCCAATCAAGCAAGCAGAATATGATTTGTATTTTAATATATTACTTGATTTTGTATTTGTTACATTTTTCTTTTGGCTGGAAGTGAATGTTATTTATATAAAATAAATAATAGTAATAATAATAATAATAATATAATTAGGCCGTTCGGTTATTTAGAATAATAAAAGTCGACATCGAACTGAAATAACATAGCTTTTAAAAGTATGAAAAAAAAATCAAACAAAAAATATAAAATTTCGAACCAATTTTTTTAGTTCGGTCCATTTTTCGATAATGTGCAATCTGACAATCATTAATGTTCAATTCGTATAACCATAATGTGCAATTACGATACATAAAAATATATAAAAACTAATACTATTTTTTCATGTAGTTATGTCGATTCTATTATTTTATGTTTAAAATTAAAGTCGAAATTGAACTGAAATACCCGTGATTTCAAAAGTAAAATCATAAAATCGAACCGAATATAAATTCTAAACTGAAAACTTCACTTAAGTCGATTCGGTCTTTTTGGTGCAATCTAACAGTCATTAATGTGCAATTCATGTATTGGTATTGTGCAATTTCAGCTTATGCATTTTAAATATTTGCTCTTAAATAAGATAAAACAAAATTACTGAAATAACCGTGATTTAAAAAGTAAAATTAGATAATTGAACCGAAATATATGATTTTGAACATAAAATTATAATTGAGTCGGCTCGATCTTTATGGTGTAATATGATCTTTATGATAGTCATTAATGTGCAATACATCTAATGCTATTGTGTAATTGCGGTGTATGCGTTTTAATGCTTTGTTTCAAAATAAACTAAAACGAAACTTAAATAATCGGTTAGTTTGATTGATTAACTGAATTATCCTAAATAATTTAAATGATTTATTATTTATATTACAAAAATATATTTGATATTTTATGTTAGTTTTTTGTTGAAAATACATAATTGATAAAATATCGAAATCAATAATATGCATCCCATAGACGATAGTGTGCATTTCGTATACCATTTTGTGCAATCTATGGATCAAGATTTTCTTACGTGCATTGTTCAATTTTAAAAATGTTAATAACGTGTATTTTTTAATGTGCAAATTTATATGATATAATGCACATTTAATTAATTAATTAAACAATTCCGATCTGTCCTCTCTTCACTCCATCATTAAGCACAGTTTTTTTTATGCACATTTAAGTAGTTAATTAAACATTTATGTTATGTCCTCTCTTCACGCCATCATAATTAATATCCTCTGTATCTGTACATAATTTAACTTTTAAGAAATTATATATTTTTCCCAAGATCTAAATTGAAGTATATTATAAGATATAAAATTGCATTTTCACCCCTATGTAACATCAAATTCTCAAAACACATCCCCAACTTTAAACTGCAAATTCAACCTGCAAGCCACAAACCGCCGGGAATTGATATGATAGGTAGCGGCGACGCCGGTTGGTGTCGCCGGAATAGACGAGACTACCTCGCCGCTGTTCGACGCCTCCGGGAGGACCATTGACCCAGCGAGCGGCGCCATCGGCATCATATGAAACGGGAATCAGCGCATCTCCCAGGCGGCGGCGGAGACGGCCGCAGGCGGCTGAACGGCTCCTCAAATCGTAATTAAAAAAAACGTCTTCAGCGGGAGCGTGCCTTGCGAGGAAGAATGGATGTTCACGGGCGACGGGACGTTCACGGCGGTGGCTGCGGCTGTTCTGTGGCGGCGCGACGTTGACGGCGGTGGATGGTGATTGGTGGTCGGCGGCGAGGTGGGTGGTGGTCGGAGGTGTCTCAGCCCTATGTGTGTGTGAGTATTGTGTGTGTGTGTGTGTGAGAGAGAAATAAGATGTGCTATGTGTGTGCGTGTGTTATGTGTGTGTGCGTGTGATGTGTGTGTGTGGCGTGTGTATGCATATGTTGGGTGTGTGGAGATGATGACATGGCATGATGATGTGGTGGTGGGTGTAATGGTAATGTCCAAATTACCCTTAATGAAAGTATAATTTTGACTTTTTTTAGCCATTAGATCATCCGATACAATGGCTACAATTTATTCTTATTTCTTTCATTGATCACCATTCTCATGGGAGCCCGACCCTATATATATATATATAAGTATAAATATAAATAAAAAGAGAATGAGATTTACTACAAATAAGATTTAGTAGTATTAGTTTATGTTTGTGTAGTTGGTTTGTGTAGTTGTGAGTTTTGTTATTTTATCTTTGCGGGAATCGTGATTCTAGGCGGTCTTCTGACCTGTCCTCCCACTTTTTCAGTTGTCTGTTGTTCCATTAAGCTAGGGGTTGTGTATTCGCACATTTGTGCATTTTGATTTCTAATATCATCTATCGTTTTGAACAAAAAAAAGATTTACCACAAATACAACCAATAAAAAGTCGAGAATAATTCATGCATCAAGTATTTATTGAGTATGAAGTGCATAAGTAATGTTTGTTCATTTGTATGTTAAGTTCATGACTAATTACACACGTTTATAAACTCATTAAAACTAGTATGTGAGTGATTTTGAGTAATAAAAACATCATTTAAAACCGAAATATTGTATTTTTTTAAGTTCATTAAAGTTGGTACTGATGACTCAATAGTAGGTACTCTCTTAGCATAGAATGAGTATTATTACACTATTGAGTCGGTATAAATCTTATAAACGTTGACAAAAAATAGAGTGATCAATTTCCGTTGACCAAAGTCAGAACTAATTGAAAGATAATAGGCACTATCATACAATGCACCTAATATCATGTTTAAGACAAACAAATACCATATTACTAGTCGTGATTTCAATAATCCGTCATGTCTACCATGTCATGAGTCGTTCACGCATGAAGTTGTTGAAAAATAGTCAATGTAGAACATATAAGTGGAATTTAGACTAGTAAAGTATGATCATTCAATGAGATGAAGTGTATAAGTAATGTTTGTTCATTAGTGTTGAGTTCATGACTACTAGTTGAGGATACTTATTTACACATATTTATAAACTCATTAAAACTAGTGCGTGAGTAATTTTGAGTAATAAAAAAATTAAGATCGGAATTTGGTATTATTTTTAAGTTCACTAATGTTGGTACTAAATACCCAGTAGTAGGTACTCACTATTGAGCCGGTATAAATCTCATAAACGTTGACCATAATTAGAGTAATCCATTTTCATTGAATAAAGGCGGTACTAATTGATTGGTAATAGGTACTACATACAATGCATCTGGAATCATGTTTAAGACAAACATGTATCATATTACTATTAGTGATTTCTTTAATTTGTCATATCCACCATATCACATGAATCGTTCACGTGTGAGTGGTTGAAAAATAGACGAATGTAAAATATATAGGTAGAATTTAGACTAGTCAAGTATGATCATTCACTGAGATGAAGTGTATAAGGAATGTTTGTTCATTTGTGTTTTGAGTTCATAACTATTACCCGACGTTACTTAATCACACACATTTATAAGGTTATTAATACTAGTATGTGAGTGATTTCGAGTATTAAAAACATCATTTAAGACCGGGATATTTTATTTTTTGAAGTTCATTAAACTTGGTACTGAGGACTCAATAGTAGGTACTAACTTAGTATAGAATAATATCCTTACACTATTGAGTTGGTATAAATCTCATAAAACATTGAAAAAAATTAGAGTAATCCATTTTCGTTGACCAAAGTCTATACTAATTGATTGGTAATAGGTACTATCAAACAATGCACCTAGTATCATTTTTAAGACAAACAAGTACCATATTACTAATCGTGATTTCTTTAATCCGTCGTGTCTACCATGTCTCGTGAATCGTTCGCTAATAAAGTGGTTGAAAAATAGACGAATGTAAAACATATAGGTAGAAATTAAACTAGAAAAGTATGATCATTCAATGAGATGAAGTGAATAAATAATGTTTGTTCATTAGTGTGTTGAGTTCATGACTACTAGTCGAAGATACTTAATTACACACATTTATAAACACATTAAGTGTGTGAGTGATTTTGAGTAATAAAATATCATTTAAGACTGGAATTAGTATAATTTTTAAAGTTCATTAAAGTTGGTACTAAAAACCTAATAGTAGGTACTCACGTTATATAGAATGAGTACCATTACACTATTTAGTTGGTATAAATTTCATAAACATTGACCAATGATTTGTTTAATCCGTCATATCTACCATGTCACATGAATCGTTCAAGCATGAAGTGGTTGAAAAATAGATGAATGCAAAACATGTAGGTAGAATTTGGACTAGTAATGTTGTAAACTGGAATGCTGTTACAATGCCTAAGGAGCTAGGTGGGTGGGTTTTCAGGACCTTAAGCTTTTTAATGAAGCTATGATCATGAAGCATAAGTGGAGAATTGTCACGATGCATGATACTTTGGTGAGCAAGTTGTTGAAATCAAGGTACTTTCCTAATACTCATTTCTGTGATGCTAAAAAGAAGGAAGGTGGCTCTTGGTTATGGAATTCATGGATGGCCATAAAGCACAAATTTGATAAACTGATTCATGTCAATATTCAGAGTGGTACCACTACCACTATCCTGGGATACCTCTTCTCTTGGATTGCACAGAATCTCTTTCAAAAATGGCATTCAAACCTCCTGCACTATGGTTAATCAGCTTCTGCTTAATGATGGAACCACCTGGAATTCTGACCTTATCACTCAGCTTTTTGACAGAGAAGTGGTTGAGGCCATTCTGCAGATTAGAACTCTGAATCCAAATGTGGATGATTGTTGGATGTGGGCTGGTAACAAGAAAGGGCTGTTCTCAGTGTCTTCTACTTACACCAACTTGATTCAAGGCAAGCTCAACCAAATGGACCAACCAGAGGGCAACAACTCAAGAGCTAAAGCTGTAATGATCAGAAATAGAACTTGGAAGTTGAAGATTAAAGGAAAACTAAAACACTTCTTGTGGAAGTGTGTAACAGGTTCTTTGTCTGTCAATGTTGGCTTAATTAGAAGAGGTGTGCCTGTGAACTCAATTTGCTCAGTTTGTGGTGAAGCAGAAGAAACCATTACTCGTGGCATTGCAGAAAGGCTCAACATGTTTGGAGTGTGGCACCGGTAAGCTGGGACTGCTTCACTCTTCCTTCCACTTCCTTTCCTGATTGGTGGTGGAGTATATGTTCTGTAAGTTCTAAGGAGATTGATGAAGGAAGAATCCAACTATCTACCTATATAATGTGGTCGTTGTAGAATCCCACAACCTTTGGGTTTTTAGAATAAAAACCTCCCTGAGCATAGCCTTGTTAGGCAAGCTGTTAGGGAGTGGCATGAATTTTCTCAGTTTTCATAACCTTTGTTGGCACTGGGGAGTTAATCTAGGTCTCGGACAATTTATTAACTCTTTCTTGTCTTAGTTCTCTTAGATGTAGTAATGGATTTCAGCTGTGTGCTGCCATTACAATTGTTCTTATTTTGACCTCCCTGTGGAGGTCTCTCATTGTCGCGCGTTTCATTCTATTGTATTGTATTAAAACCTTGTATTTGTTTCCTTATTAATGAGATTCCTATCGTTTCGAAAAAAAAATATGACCATTCATGAGATGACGTATATAAACAATGATTGTTTACTAGTGTGTTGAGTTCATGACTACTAGTCGAGCATACTTAATTACACACATTTATAAACTCATGAGAACTAATGTTTCAGTGATATTAAGTAATCAAAACATTATGTAATATCGAAATTTAGTATTTTTGAAGTTCAACTGAGTTGGTACTGAAGACCCATAAACAAGTGCTTACTGAATATAGAATGAGTACTGTTGCACTACTTAATCGATATAAATCTCCTTAAAATTGACCAAAAGTAAAGTAATCCATATTCTTTGACCAAAGTCGTTACTAAATGCTACGTATAAGGTACTATCATACACTATACCTGGTACCGTCATTAAGACAGAAAACTACTAGGTTACTAATCATGGTTTCTTATCGTTCAACAAAGTAGGTACTAAATATGATAAAGTACTATCAGGATTGATACTAATCATGGTTTCTATCAGGATTCTTATTGTTCAACAAAGAAGGTTACTAATCATGGTTTCTATCAGGATTCTTATTGTTCAACAAAGTAGGTTACTAATCATGGTTTCTTATCGTTCAACAAGATTGATACTTTACACCACAAAACAGGTACTTATTAACGATCGATTGAGTGCGTATCGATATAACAAACATTGACAAAAATGCAAGAAATTCATGGTCGTTGGCCAAAGTAGATACTAAATCCAAATTTAAAAGCAAAATATTTCACGTTTTCAAATCGCCATGGATGATCTAGCTCTCGCACTCCTTGTAAAGGTATATAAGGGCATATGCAACTCCAAGAATTTTGTTTAGCCTTCTTTCCCACGTGAGGAATCTCATTAAATTGGTCTGGTTGTGGAGAGTCCTATCCAAGTTCCCGTTTTCTATATACTCGTAATAAAAAATGCAAAATAGGCAATCGGGGTTTTTCCACAAAATGACAGTGTATGGCGGACCACCACGTGGGCCACGACCACCTAGACGGACGAGATTCTGATTGTGGAGGCCTCGCAGTTGGCTTTCTCCCGGAGACCGACCACGCCACGTTTAGAGAATCAAAAAATCCTTTTGCGGAAGAAGCTCGGGTGGTTTGGGACTTTCGTCAAGCATGTGGAGTGCGTCGGGGATGTTGAACATAGCGGAGCTAGTCAGGTCGAGGGTGAGTTGGCCCCGGTCGAGAGGCGACAGTTTGGAGACCCATCGCCTGTGGGCCGAGAGAAATTGTTGTTGGCGGAGCCGGCAGGCTGCCAGAGAAATTGTTCTTGAGCACATCGAACACCTTGAGTTAGGAAAAAGCCCACCACAACCTCGCCAGAAGCGGCGTCGGCGAACGCATTCTGATTGATATTTACGAGCTTCGGCGAGGTTAGTCTGCATATTTTCACCTGCAGTGGGCAGGTCAGGTTGGTCCCTAAGAGGGTGAGGTTGAAGAGCCTTCCCAACATGTCGATTCCAGGCGGGAGGGCACCGAAGAGCGAAACGTAGACGATGTTTAGCGACGCCACGCGACCGTTGGGGTTGCAATCGATGCTAGAGAATGAGTAGTGGGTCGGATAATGAGGCATTGAATCAGCCTAACCTTCAAGGCCCGAGCCCGAGGGCCCGACGAGGGATGACTTCAGAGTCAAGAGGGTTTCAAGGCCGGAGTGTGCGTGGAGTATAGAAGGACAGAGGATAGTGATTATGAGAAGGAGAGGAGATGCCAGCAGCGCCATTTTCGCGCGATTTTGAAGCTCTGATAATGATTTTGTACAAAGTACTTTTGTGGGGTTGAGAGAGAGTGATTTTACAATGAGTTTCAAGGAACAATGGAAAAATAAAAAATAGATAGAAAAATAATAAACTGTTTATTTTGATAGCAAAAGTATATGTAAGGGCTTGTCTGTTCATGAAGAAGATGATAGAAACAAAAATAGAGGAGGTGAGAGATGATAAAAATTAAATAAAATATGATGATGTGATGAGTTTTGCTTTTTATTCGTTGTGAAAGAATTAAGTGGAAGGAAGAAGGGTAGGTAGGGATTACAAAGGAAAAAAAAATAAAAAGACTTGAGCGTGTTTGTATACAAAAAAATCTACACAAAATGAGTTTCAATTAGAGTTAATTTGAAAAGAATGGTAGGGTTAGTTGTTAGTGAGATTTTGATTTTATTTTGATTTTTGAACAAATTAATTAAAATTAATTTGATGTAAAAGTAGGAGATAGATAGTGTGAAGTGATGGTTAGTTACAATTATGTGAGAGGATGAATAGTAAATTAAAGTTGATGTGAGGTGTAAGAATGAATAAATGATATTTATTTAGTTATATTGATAATATTGAAGATAGTAGAGTTGAATTAAAATTGAGTATGAATTGTATTTTTTCATATACAAACACACCCTTGGGGTATTGGAAGAGGGAATGGAGATTTTTTTTTTTTTCCCAGAACGATAGGGATGATATATATATAAACCTCAAAGAGAACAAAGTTCTAATTACAATGGGAAAATCCCAACTGACCGAAAATAAAAAACTGGGATGTGCTTACAGCAAGCACATAGAACCTCATCAATCACAACCAATTGGCAATAAAACACAATTAACAGAATCCATGACCCTACCCACTGCTAACAAGCCTAGCTAGGAATCAATGGTTCTAAACCACAAAGAAAAATCAGAAAAGAAACACAGGCTGAAAGCAAAATAAAATGAACTATGAAACAGAAGAGAAGTCAATCCAATCTTTGAGAGCTGTCCTGACCACAATATGCTCAGGCATGAGAGAGTGTTTGAAGATCCAGAGGTTTCTAAATTTCCAAAGCCACCAGAGCAAATATGTTGAGAGCTGAATTCTTGCCTCTACCACTTCAATGTGCTTGATTAGACATAGATGCTGCCACCAGGCTTTGAAGGAGTAGGTGAACTTCTGAAGGCCATCCCAGTGCACTGGTGCAATATCCCACAGCCTTTGAGCTCTTGAACATTGAAAAAAGAAGTGCTCTGGTGTCTCTGGATGATCACCACAAATCTGACACATAATGCAGACTTCCACCCCCCTCTTATTCAAGTTAACAGCCACTGGCAGTGATCCTGAAAGACACTTCCAAAGAAAATGTTTAATTTTCCCAACAATTTTCAGCTTCCAACATTTGGCAACGGCCTTATATTGAAGTTGTGAAGACGAGCTGGATTCAGGGATGTGCAGTTGAAGAAATTTCTTGTCAACTAGGAGTTTATATGTCCAAGCCACAGAGAATTTGCCCTTAGAGTCAGGACCCCAGAACAGTCTATCAGCCCTTGTTGGGTTAAGTGATCTTATAACGCCCCATTTTATTTTAAAGAATTTCCCGAATTCATTTATAAAAATCAGAGTTAATTTTTCGAAAAATCTCAAATTTAATTTTAAAATCAACGGGCGCTACTTGTCTACCAAGAATAAATTAAACAAATATACAAACACATAAAACCAAGCATAAAACAATAAGGAAATATCTATACATGCATGACTAACAGTTATAGACAATAAATCCAAGAATTTATTAAGTTCCCAAAAATAACCTTAAGTAAAGCATAATCCCCAAGGTTCAAATTCGACATAACTTAATTATCCAAATCAAAGCAAGAAAATAAAACCAAGTCATGAAACAGTAATTCGACAATGTCTTAAATAAGCGAAAGCATATATCATGATAAAATAATCGACCCAATGACCACCATCTCGCTCGTCTTTACGCCACCGCCACCAGCTCAGCTCAATCTAAAGAAAAGGAAGAGGAGAACAAACAGAAAAGTAATGGGGGTGAGCATCACCATCGAGCTCACCATTATCGCACAATATATCCCGTATAAAAGTATAAAAAAACACAACCATAGTATGCATAGAATCCAGAGTCTAACTGCCTACTTGGCCCTATCGCAAACCTCCTATGTAAATACAACCACCTTCCAGATACAACGGCAAGGAAATAACTGGAAACATTCCCATCACCGAATGGCTACGGGCCTGGGATCCTTTCCAGGGGACAGTAGAGCTGTTTTTCCCCTTCACGAATATCATACGGACCGGGGCGTCACCTCTTCGAATCTATACGGGCCGATGACCTCTCACTGTTTATGCATTCCTCAAAGACACTAATATACGGGACACTTAGACTAGGGTTCTCACGCATACAACATTTTTCAAACGAAGTATTTATACGAAATATTAAGTGCGATAAATGTAGATACACTTAAAAGTGCTCACCTTTTTGCAGCGACAGTTCACAATCACAAATCTCGAAAGCAGGGTGAGGTCAACACCTCTAGACACCTACATTACGTCCAGATACTAAAGTCAACGCTTTATCTAGAATAGAAAATCACAATCTGACTTAAACTTGATTCGGCTAAATTGTTCTTGAAGTCTTATGGATATTGGAACTCTAGGACTCAGACTCGACCAAACCACTTATTGGAGATCACACAATTTCACATAAATGACAATCAAAACAAGACACGAGGAACCACATAACATGCCGGTTATCAATACTAACCAAAATTATTATTTGAAAACAATTGCCAAGATTTACACATGTTTAAGAAGGTCCAGCAAACCAACGAGTTAAATTCTTAACATTTAACACAAAATTCATCTCCCAGTACTTAGAAGAACCACCAAGTTTCAGCCCCAAATTCAAAATACACGATTTTTAAAAATTCACATAAGTTATCAGCAAAAATGAACATAGAATCACAACATGACCTAATGAACGAGTCACGACTTGAAATTTTAACACCATATACATCGGCATGTGAATATCATCATATAAAAATTCCAGCCATTAACAATAAATACACGAATTTTAAAAATTCAAACAAGTTTTTGCATATTTTCAATTTTCATCAAAACTGAACCTAATAAATCCCATCTTTTTACAATTTATCATAATTAAAATACGATTCTGCAGAAATTATTAATTAATTTTTAACCCTAGCAACTGAAGTCCAAGAATTCTGAAAATTTTACACAACATATAAACATGCTAGAAACACAACATACTCGAATTTCAACAGATTTGGATCCTAACTCAAATTATTATGCATTTAACAAGAATCTGCCCAGAAATCAATTTAGCTACAGGCCGAGAAGAAATATGAAATTTTTACACGAGCCTTGTTTTCATTAGAGGACATATCACTTAAAATTTCATGGCAATCGGAGCAACACACAATTTTTGGTGAATTTTACATAGAAAACAGCGATTACAAATTTCAATAATTAATATCTCCCAATCTACAAATCCGAATGACACAAGGTCAAAGCCATTGTGTTCATGACGATCCTAAGTCCCTTAATCCACAGCAACTTAACACTTTTAACATGATCTCGTTCGAGTTCGCACGAACCGACGAGATCGACATATAACTCATTTAAATCACGGCTCAACATTATTCATACACAACAATGATGATCATATTACACAAGTACACATAAAATGCACCTCATATGAACACGTAAATAACGCAAGAAGGATTGAGTCTCGATAACGATCTCGGAAAGCGTGCGAGAATGGATCGAATGGGTTGATGGCACGACGGGCTTGACGGCTTCATGCGTCTCGCCAGAGAAGGAGGAGCAGTGGCTGAACGGGACCTTCGCGAGGGGCTGCGAGCCTGAGGATGACGGCTTGTGGAGTTGCAGCGAAGAGAAGTTTTTCGGGGCTGCTGTACGTGAATGGGGCTCGCCGGAAAAGGTCGCGACGGGGCTTGCAGATCCGGCGGAGGGTCGTCAATCGAGGGCAGCGACTGGTTGCAGGAGCAACATGCTCGTCGGTCACTAAGGAGGGGCTCTTCGCAAAAGAAGAGTGGAGGTTGATCGCGGACAGGGGGTGCTCGCCGTCGGGGGTTACGCCGGAATTGCTGAGGAGTCGCCTGCGCGGGAAGAGAGAATCGTTGGAGGTTTTCCGCTGGTCGCTGACTGAGAAGGCTTGCGTGAATCGTCGGAGTAGCAGCCGCGCTCGGAGTTGCAGTGATTGACACGACCAGATTTCGAGCGTGAAAGGTGGTGATGGCGATCGGATTTTAACTGGGGAAGAGGAGATGGTGAGGGTGACGATCGGTTATGGCGACGGAAAGATTTTCCTTGCGCGAGTGAGAGGAAGGGATCGACGGGAAAATTTGATGAGAGATTTCTTTCTCTCTTCTCTGATCCGATGCATGAGATCGAGAGATGAGGGGCAATAATTCTGCAAAAGGAAAAAGAGAGAGATCGAGCGAGATGCGTTTCTCTCCTTTTTCTGTTCGGCCGAGAGAGAGAGATTAAGGATGAGTGCGAGAGATTTATCTGTCGAGAGAAAAAGATGGCTACGAGTTTATGAGGGGAGCAGACATTGCGATCGGTTTTAAACAAAGAACTTAGGGTTCTCCTTTTCTTTCACCACAAGACACCCACACACACACTTGGGGGCGGACCGGGTCGGGGCAAGGGAAAAACCGGGTCTGGTCAATGCGGGCGGCTTCCAAGAATTCGGGCCGATTCGGTCAATTTGCTCGGGCAGGCTCTCGGGCTCGATTTAAAAACTTAAAGACGATTGCGGTTGGGTCG